TCAAAATAGTCATACATGTATCTAACCCACAATTTTGGTGTTAGTATTGCCTCTTGTAGGAAGTGTTCCTCCAATTTCGCCATATAATTGTTCGCTAAGATGGGAGCCAGGCAAGATTCCATCGCTAGTCCGTGTGTTTGTTCGTTTAACTTACCATCAGAGGCAAAATATGTGTTACTCATGGATAGGTTGATGAGTCTAATAATGGAAGCTATCTCTGGATACTTCTCCAGAGTTTGTATCAGAGCTTGAATAGCTGCTTGAACAGGAACGTTTGTGTACGTCGTATAAAAGTCAACGCGATTCATCTGAATCTCTTCTTCAGGCACTTTCATACGAAACGAAAGTCCCCCCAACATTCTCAACTGTTCTGTTATAACGAGTTTTATTTTGGTTAATGTAGCCTGTAATGAATGCATGTGCAGAGAATGCTGCAAATTAGGCGAGTAGTGTCACTATAAAACGCATTAAACAGTAACTGCACAACCATTTTCAGGTAAAAGACTTCCTACACATCAAAGAGAAGTTCAACAACGAATGGTGGATCGGTCGACTAGTCAAAGAGGGCGGCGAAGTGGGCTTCATCCCGTCGCCGGCCAAACTAGAGGCTCTGCGGACACTGAGCGGAAACAAGCTTGCAAGGTGAGTCAAGCATGAATGCACTCTTTGACTACTTTCTCGTCCACATTTGGTACCGAAAAGTAGCTTTGAATGGCGGCAGAGTTGAAAGGCGGAGATCGCTTCTTGCACTTCAACTTGCTCCTCGCAACCACCTTTCGACTGTCTGAAGAGCCTCGAGGCTTGGTCTGTCCTCTCAACAGTGACAGTCTCCTGAGCACATGTGGCTGGTCGTGTTCACCAGACCATGACGAAATCTGGATCGAATAAAGCAGTGTTGACATTTTTCGTGTATAATACAGTTTTCGAGACTGGCAATAGATGATACGTGCGAGCTGTATTCACTCCATTTAAACAAACATGATGAGGTGACTGGTAGTTGAATTTCCTCAGAATCATATAATCTTCTTTCAATTGGATTTTATCCAAGCCTCCTTCCAAAAGGGTATTCCCATCCCCGCTCGACTGGACTGCAATTTCGACCTCGCCCAACATCGTCTCATACCCACTCGCAGCGGGACTCGAACCCAGGTTGCGATATTGCAACGTATAATCTTGACACGTTGACCGCTACGCCAGCCACGACCCCGAGAGCCATTGAAGCACAAAGCAGACGCGAATTTTAGGGAAGCCTAGGCCTTTTTCGTATCTCATTTCTGCCAAATTGTACTTGCCGTAGCAGTCGACTACATGGCAGACTTGAAAGGAGAATAAAGTAATGTGTAATCACTTGCTGTAGCAAGCACAACTTTGCTTCGTCGACAATAACACCCAAGAAATGTGATTTTGCAAACGCGACGTCTATCACGTTAAACTATCGTTGTTGATCTATCGGGATTCTGGAAAAGCTACGTATAAAACGAAAATATCGCTTATATTAGCCGGTTTTCACAACATTCATGTTGTTTTCCTCTTTCCCCTTCACTAGTAAATGCAGTACCGCGAATCTTGAAGGAGGCGGCCTCAGGACGGCCAACTCTCGAGCGTCCACTCCTCCTGGTAGGCGACCTTTTTAACTTTTTCCATTTTATCCCAAGCTCACCAATTCGGCTGTATGCTTTCAGACTGGACGCAGTCTAGGCTTTCATTTTTGGGCATGCATTAACTGCCATATTTGCGTAAAACTTTCGTGAGCATGGGTACCTAATCAAGTATAATTGGCATAAAACAAGGAGTTTTTACTTTGGATAGATAGTATTGTACTGGGCATGACAACGAGTTGTAAAATTCTAACTATACGATAAAAGGGCAAATATTTTGGAGGTGGCTAAATGGTATCCATTTTATACAAAAAAAGCAAATATTCTACGCCAAGCTCGGAATTAGGCCCAGCAACTGGAAGTATTTTTACAATTACTATGAAAGTTTAAGGCATATACCAAAGCATATTGGGTCGTATAAGACAGGACTTCTCTTAATCGAGCGAAATAAAAATGATTACATTTAGTCTTTCAAGGGCATACTTTCGAGATTAATTATGCTGAATAGAGTGCACATGTCTGAGACAAACTATTATGCTATCAGTTTAATTGAAAAAATCTGCTTTGTATGTAAATTGTATGGGATTTTTTCGGCGCGAAATTCTACGTCTACATCAAAAGACCTGGGATCTGGCGAAACCGTGATCTCGAGCAGAACGGCTGATGGCTTTTGAGAAACAAAGTTGAGCTGTGACGTTAGGTTTACATGAATCAATACTCAAATAATGTTATTGAAAATGTTATAATTGAAAAAAATGTTTTTACCACTTTTTATATTATGTTTGAGTCAATTTTGAGACTGCCCAGGACGTCTGAGGTCGCTTCAGATGGCGCAAGAACTGACGGTTGAATTAACCACGATTGAATGTGACTTGAATTTCACCGAGTCTTGCCTCCAAAAAAGCCACCTCATCTTGACTGTAAACTAAATTTCATTTCTTCTTTTCCGGAATTTAGTTAAATTTCCAGCGAAGTTTTATCGGACCAAATGCCCAACCAACTCCAATAGAGTGTTTTACTTGAGCTAAACCTCTTGGCTTGGCAACAAAAACAACTTTTCAAATCAGATATTAGCCCAACTCGCCTAATTTTATTTACGGATTCGTATCGCAGGAAAGAGAGTAAACCTGATGATAAAAGAGAATTTCATCCATTTTCGCCTTCCAAATGGTCTAGACTGCAGTTTCGTCAGCATCCACAATTAACTTTTAATTTATCGGCAGCATAAGGCCTTG